AGAGTCCAGGGACAGCTCCAGAAGTGATCCAAAGTCATGCCAAACCACTCCGATAGGCACTGCACTTGCTTTTCGAGCCCTTCGGTCGACATCTCCACTAAATTGGGATAATTTTTCACCAGAAGAATGGCATCACTTTTGCGAAGACCTAAAACTTGTCTCAATGTGTCAACAGTTGTACTCTTCTGGGGCTCGAAGTTGAAGTTATCGTCGATTGTGTTGAAGTTATGTAATAAAGACTTTTGGCCATAACTCTGTCCACCATCTGATTTGACGGATAACTTGTATTTATTTAAGAGGTAATCGATTTCATGAGTGTTTGTCGAGTGATGGTTTGCTAACCTAGGCAACCGGTTGTCTTTACTGTGTTTGAGAGCCAAAGACTGGGTTCTCAACGGTGATTAAACTCGGTTTTCACACAAAGATAACTTACGAAAGTTTGTTTACGGTTTGTAAACAAAGGATTTGATAAATGATTTCAATAAACAATACATTCATTAAAACATTCACTCAATTAAAAGGCTTTCAATAACTGACTGTTTGTTTACAAGCTTTGAGTCAATCATTCATTGAATGCATACGAGTTTTGTAGACACCTATGGGTTGAGGGAAGGGATCATTAGATCCTAAACGCTATTTCGCGTCTAATTCATACATTTTTGGACTAATTGTTTGAATCAAACAACTAATGCCATGAAATTGAATACAAAGTGAATGTATGACTGGTTTGTGGTGTGAAGTGAATGGGAGAGCAATGGGAGAGCGAGTGATGAGTGGATGCGAGTACTGACCGAAAGCCGAGTCCTCTAACAGACATGAGTTTTGGTGTGAAATGAATCGACGAATGAAAACACGACACGAATTGTAATGCCTTTCAAAGGCTTTCATAGCATTCAATACATTGACAGTCAGTCTGTATATAAAAGTGAGATTCGCTGCGAAACCGGCTTTTAGTCAATAAATCCCTTCATCTTAACCACAATTAAGCCAATTGTCACTCATTTGAACAAACATTTCATACATTAATCACTCATTTCTCACGAAAACCACAGAGAAATGCATTCATTTAAAGGTATGAATCGTTTGTCGAGAAGTGTTATTCAATTGAAATAACGTTTGTTTTCATTTGACCATAGATTTAGTGAAAGTCTTGTCAATAGTTATCGTAAGTCTGAGCCAAACGTGTCACTCCCTGTACGACAAGAAGTCAGATGTGATTGAATTGAATCCAACGAACTTCGAGAGCAAAGTGATTGACTCGACAGACATCTGGATCGTCGAGTTCTTCGCGCCCTGGTGTGGACACTGCAAGGCATTGGTTCCCGAGTACACCAAAGCCGCCGCCGCCCTCAAGGGGGTCGTCAAAGTGGGTTCAGTCGACGCCGACGCCCACAACTCGTTGGGCTCGCGGTTCGGCGTCCGCGGCTTCCCTACCATTAAGATCTTCGGCGCAAACAAGAAGACTCCGATCGACTTCAACGGCGCGCGAACGGCGGCCGGACTTATCGACGCCGCCTTCAAGGAGTTGAGGCGAGTGGTGGACAGTCGAGTGGGCGGAGGCTCTGGTGGCGGCTCTTCGAGCGGAGGCGGCGGTCGAAAGGCTGGCGACAAGAAGGATGTCGTAGAGCTGACTGACGCCAACTTCGAGGAGAAGGTGCTGAAGAGCGATGACCTCTGGTTAGTGGAGTTCTTCGCCCCCTGGTGTGGACACTGCAAGAGCTTGGAGCCCATTTGGGCCGAAGCGGCCACTGAACTCAAGGGCAAAGTAAAGGTGGGCGCTCTGGACGCCACCGCCCACACCATCACTGCCGGCAAATACAACATTAAAGGCTTTCCAACCATTAAAATGTTTGCCTCTGGAAAGAAGGACGGGTCAGCCGAGGACTACGACGGCGGGCGCACCACATCTGATATCGTCAACTGGGCTCTCGATAAGGTGTCTGAGAGCGCGCCTCCACCTGAAGTCAATCAACTCATCAATGAGGACACGTTTAAGGCTTGCGACGGCTTTCAGTTGTGTGTTATCTCTGTTTTGCCTCATATTCTCGACTGTCAGTCAAAGTGTCGAAACGAATACATCGAAACTCTTCAAAAAATTGGTGATAACTATAAGAAGAATAAATGGGGATATCTTTGGATCGAAGCTATGGCTCAGCCAGAGGTAGAGGACGCCCTCGAAATCGGAGGATTCGGATACCCGGCGATGGCTGTCCTCAATGTCCGCAAAATGAAGTACTCTCTCCTTCGCGGCTCTTTTAGTTACGACGGAATCAATGGTTTTCTTCGAGACTTAATGTACGGCAGAGGTTCCAGTTCTCCCATCAGAGGCGCTAAACTTCCAACCATTCAAACCACGGAGCCCTGGGATGGCAAGGATGGACAGGTATGTTATATATGACTCCTTTATGCCGTATATCTCAACTAATTGACACTTTGTTTGCCATTAGATGCCAGTCGTTGATGAGGACATTGGTGTCGATCACTCGGAGTTATAATTACATTAATTCATAATTTTTAACTTTTCTACAAATTGTGATCTTTTCTTCCTTTTTGTTTAGTATTTCTCAATTGTCTTATATTTAGAAATATTAAAATTAATTTAAATAGCTTTCAATTTTTGTATAAATTATTAAACAATTGCCATAAAAAGCATCCATTAATTACATTTGAGCATCAATTTTATCAATGAAATGTCTAACCATTATATTTAAAAATAAATTATTTTCAAAACTTAAGTTTAAATTAATAATCGATACATTTATTCAAGAATTTTATTGAAAATTAAGTTCAAAAACGACATGAAATCAAACATTTATTTTCCTTTCTTGGCTTTGATTTTCTTTAAATAGAACTCAAGTTCTTTGCCCTCAAGAATGTATCCGTCAGCCCTTCCCACTTGTCCGGGACGTGAGGCCAGACATGCTGTCAAATCAAACAATAATCACAATTAAAATCATTTTCATACAACTCAACGAAATAAAAGTGAATATAATAAGCATCAGAGTAACTATGAGTTTGTCATTAACACGAAGTGATTCCGAGAGAGAGTTTGTCATCAGATAATAGCTATGTCTCAAAACAATCAAAATGAATACAAACCGAGAACTCTTCCGGCCATAAACTGCTCGTCGAGAGCCGCCTCCACTTTCGCCACCTTTTGTCTTAATTTATACTTCTTGTCACACTTTTTGCTTCTCTTCTTATTGAAGATCTCCTCATCGGCTTCGGTCTAAACAAACCAAACCATACATTAAAGACATTACAAAAGCAATCATTTCAAACAAATCCTAATCAATAGATGATAAAAATCAGAAAACTATTAGACATCAAACAAATCAGCCGAAAGATGGTATAAATTAGATCATCACTTATTAAACATCAAGTAAAACGTCCACAAAAACAAATACAAACCAATTTCAAGCCCTTCTTACGACCCAAAGGCGCCGAATAGTAGTTCTCATACCAGAGACGGAAAGGCGTTGCATCGATCAGAACAATGCAGTTCTTCACCAAAGTCTTGGTTCGGACCAATTCATTGTTACTGGCGTTATAGACCACGTCAATGATACGGGTCTTACGAGTGGTGCCTATAAGATCACCAATTCATCAATTATTGCAAAACGAAATTCAAACAAAACTATTTATAGCTAACAAGTGGATCAGATCGCTGTGGGATTAAAGGTATAATCAAAGCATTCATAAGAAGCAATTCAAGTTATCATCATTTCAATGGTGTCCTAACCCTAAACCAACAAATCAAAGAGTGGTAAGACTTACGCTCTGAAGCCCAGGCGAAGTTGCCGTGATCTAGACGTAGAGCCCGGAACTTGCTGTTACCACCTCTGGTGCGGACCAAATGCACGCGTTTGGGACCAATCTATGCAGACATACGACACGTGTTCACAATAGGCTCATAAAGGGGTGGACAGAGGGCTGGGAGGAAAGGGGTTTAGCTTCCATCAGAACGGCGAGCGTTTTTCATCAATCAAAGTGGCAGATGACACGCATGAATAACATCATATGGAGATCTCAAGACTCGGGACATTATTTACGCAAAGATAGGCTACGCCGGCAGAGACTTGGAGGAAGTGGTCATACCTTGGTGTTGGCTGAGGGTCGGCCCAACTCGAACTTCCTCTTCTTCCTCAGAGGCTTTCGTTTGCCGCCAGTCTTCCTGCGTTTGTGCCAATGATCTCGTGATATACCTGAAGATCACCGCAAATCACAGACATTAGTGAGCGCTCACTCAAGTCATGTGCAGACAATGCATGCAAAACACGTTGCAATACAACACTATCTCCTAAACTATACTTTTACTACATTTTACTCATTATTATAGCTTTAAATGAATTGAATGTGAAATAAGTGTTAAATAAAATCATAATTAATGACTAAATAGTGAATTGAATTAAAATAAATAGCATTTAAAGCGGAATCGGGAGCTAAGAGAGCATTGAATGACTTACCCATAGCTGAGTTCTGCCGGAAAAGGACACAAACCTCTGTGCAATGGCATCAGAGCACCGATAGGTGGCATACACTGCACTGACATCTGGCGGACAAACGCTGGCATTAGTAGCCATTCAATGAACACAAAAAACGTTTGCTTTCGCGAAGTGTATGCGAAACGCGTTGCAAACGATTGCGAGTGAAAGGCATTGCATTCACGCAATGAATGAGTGATTATAATAGGAGTTGTAATTGATTTCTGAATGAAAACCAAATATTGACTCAAATTTTGATTTGTTTTCGCATTTTATATGATTTTCTCATCAATTGATTGTCTTTTGAATTGTCTTTTGATTTGTGGTTTGATTTGTGTCTTGAATTGCAATCCAATCGTCACATCCAAGCAATCGTTGCATCCATTGAGCCATTGGTTGGTGAGTGAAGGGAAGCGCTGACAGGAATGGCGGCCAAAGACAAGTCGACGCCGGGAGCGGTCGGACACTTCGGCGTGGACTCAATCAAAGTGATTGGGGATCAGTTGGCCATCTCTAACATCACAGACGACGCCTCGCGGCTGTTGGCCGAAGACGTGACATATCGCGTGAAATGCATTCTTCAGGACTCACTGAAGTTTGCGATGCACTCGAAGCGCCGCACTGTCAACACGTCGGACATCGACTTCGCCCTCAAGAACAAGAACATTGAGCCCCTCTTCGGCTTCTGTAACTCAGATCACAGTCCCTTCCGATTCGCGTCCGGCGGCGGACGTGAGCTCTACTTCAATGAGGAGAAGGAAATCGATTTGTCGGAAGTGTTGACGGCGTCGACGACACCCAAACTCCCGCAAGACGTGGCCCTCAAAGTCCATTGGCTGAGCATTGATGGCATTCAGCCGTCGATCCCTGAAAACCCTCCGCCGCTCTCTCGCGACCAACAGAGGGAAGAGAGCGTCGATCCGGCGATGGCTCTGAAGAAGGCGTCGCAACTGAAGCCCAATCAACAGCAGAAACTGCAACAGAAGAAGAAGAAGCAGATGGAAATGGTTAGAGTGAAGCAGTTCGCCACTCATGAGTTGTCTGTCGAGCAACAGCTCTACTACAAGGAGATCACCGAAGCCTGTGTCGGCTCAGACGAGGGCCGGCGCTCGGAGGCGCTCCAGTCGTTGACATACGACCCGGGATTGCATCAAATGCTTCCCCGTCTCTGCACTTTCATCAGCGAAGGCGTCAAAGTAAATGTCGTACAAAACAATTTAGCGCTTCTTATATATCTCATGCGAATGGTTAAAGCGCTTCTCGACAACCATAACCTCTATCTTGAGAAATATCTACACGAACTCATCCCTACAGTCCTCACTTGCATTGTCTCCAAACAACTCTGCAATCGACCCGATGTTGACAATCATTGGACGCTCAGAGACTTCGCGTCACGTCTTTTGTCCCAAATCTGTAAAAACTTCAACACAACCACTAATAATGTTCAGACGAGAGTCACGCAACTCTTGAGTCAGTCCCTCGACAAGGATCGCCTCCCAATGGCCTCATATTATGGCGCCGTTTCGGGTCTCTGCGAGTTAGGCACTGAAGTGCAGCGAACTTTCCTTCTCAAGAGGTTGAAAGCCATCGGAGAGAGAATTCGTGTCTATTTCGAGACCTCCAACCTCTCCACCGCTGACAAGTCGGCCGCCGAACACATCAAACAACTGTTGCTTAAAGTTCTGCCGCAATGTCTTAAAGTGAGTCCAACTCTTAATGTCCACAACGTTATGACAATTCTTAACTCCAATTAATGCCAACAGAACTCTCGGCCCACACCGAACACATCAAACAACTGTTGCTTAAAGTTCTGCCGCAATGTCTTAAAGTGAGTCCAACTCTTAATGTCCACAACGTTATGACAATTCTTAACTCCAATTAATGCCAACAGAACTCTCGGCCCACACCTGACGTTCTGGATGAGTATAAAAGCGAATTCGGATACTTAGGTCAAGCGCTTCATACGGGTATTACAACTGATGCCTAAAAAGTAGTCATTTCTTAACATATTTGTTGTCCAAAGCTGTGGTGCGCTCGCGATCGGCCGGAACACAGATCGCACAAATCGGTTCCCAATTGGGAACTCCTTTAACATATCACTTGCCATCGAGTAGTCCGCGTCCATCCATTACAATACCTTCGAGTAACGCCAATCGGATCCAACTTCAGCCTCAAATATCTTCGCCGACTATCAGAAGGCCTATTATAGGAACTCCGAACCAGAAGATAGTTATTGTGCCGCCGTCTGGCGGCGCCTCTCCCGCCCCCACACACGCGGGAGGTTTTGTGCGCATAAATGCCAACACACCGGGCACTCCAGCCGTTCAAAGATATGTAATGATTAATCCCAACAATTCAATGGTTCAGTCATCGAATCAGTCTTCACAACAACCATAACATTAAACCTTTATTTTTATGAATAAATTTAAAAATAAAATAATTTGTAAATTTAATTATATTTAATTGATTGGAGTATAAAAATAATGAATTATTATTTGGAAATAATCAAAATAAACAATTATAACATATTTCTAAAATAGGTAAATTGCGGCAAAATCTTTGGATGTTTTAGTTTTGTATTAAAACTTTTCCAAAACATTGTAGACTCCTTTTGAACTTTTTGTCGATTCACATAGTTCTTAGTCTTATCACTGAATCCGTGCAGAAAGTTATGCGCGATTCGTATTAAGTTGTCCGCAGTTTTCTCGCCGACACTTATGTCATCCAAACAGACCACGAATAGTGAAGAATCCACTAAATGGAGGCTCTCTTTGTTCTGAGCGCTTGAACCTATCAACTGATCCCTCGCTTTTGCCCAAATGTCTCGGTTTTCAGTCGTTAATAGAGTAATAGAGTCTTCGTTTGGATTTATCGGTGAATCCATTATATGTTGAATACAAGTCATAACTGACGGGTCTTTTAGATCTCCGTCGGGGGACAGACTGACGCGAGCGTCCAAAGTGTTGGAACAGTTGACGGGACAACAACCGGTCTTCTCGAAGGCCAGATATACCGTCCGATCGTTTGGTATCCGAAGGAATGAGAAAATCGCGGTTATAATGAATAATTATTTGGAAATAATCAAAATAAACAATTATAACATATTTCTAAAATAGGAAAATTGCGGCAAAATCTTTGGATGTTTTAGTTTTGTATTAAAACTTTTCCAAAACATTGTAGACTCTGTCGAGTGAATTGCTAAACGCGTCGACAAACTGTTTGCCATTTCTATGCGGAGCATAAGAAGACACTATAATCCCCAGAATATTCTCTGTATACCCATAACCACAACCAAATCCATTGGGAACTACTGGTCCGAAACCTCCCGCTTCGAAGCATTCACCGAATAAAGTAGATGTCGAGAGTATGAAGTTATTTGCTTCCGTATAACTCTTATCTAGATACAACTCTGGAATAGATTTTCCTGTCTTTTCAGCCAAATATTTCATAACAAACAGGTGTCTATCAAATCCCTGTCCCATTGCAGCCTCTTTTGTGAGTTGAAAGTGTCTTTTAGAGCACTCGTCCAGCAATTGTCTCAATTCCGAGTCACTGGGCTTTTGGTGTTTCAAGAAAGCAATGGATGCGTTCTTTGTGGCCATTGTAGCGGATCTCACAGTTTCAGTCCTCCCGTGTTTGAAAGCAGAGGTCGAACATGACTCATATGTGGCCACAAATGTGTTGTACAACTGATAGAAAGCCATTTGAAAGCCCAACTGAAATATAGAGTCCGGACTAACTTTCTTGCGTTTCATGTATTCTCTGTTCATTTTGTCGTATTTCGTGAAATTTAACTCAAGATTTTCGGTATTCTTCGCGTAATTACTTTTGGCTGCTTTTACAGCACTCCTCAGACCCTCATTCAACTCAAAACTTAATTTCTTTACTTCTTTCGAGACATCAATTGCTTTATTCAATGGACTGTTTGGGTGAACGAAATGGTTTTGAGTCGAGTCCTGATATATTTCATTGAAGAATCGCAGGACAGCCACTCCATCGCCCCAACTGTGCTCGAAGTTAATGGCCGGTCGACCGTCTCTTGACATGAGAATTGTAAACGACTTATCGTACCATCGATTCACATAGTTCTTAGTCTTATCACTGAATCCGTGCAGAAAGTTATGCGCCACTCGTATTAAGTTGTCCGCAGTTTTCTCGCCGACACTTATGTCATCCAAACAGACCACGAATAGTGAAGAATCCACTAAATGGAGGCTCTCTTTGTTCTGAGCGCTTGAACCTATCAACTGTTCCCTCGCTTTCGCCCAAACGTCTCGGTTTTCAGTCGTTAATAGAGTAATAGAGTCTTCGTTTGGATTTATCGGTGAATCCATTATATGTTGAATACAAGTCATTATAACTGACGGCTCTTTTAGATCTCCGTTTGAATCCATGACATCAAACACAAAGAACTGACCATTTTTTAAGACAGAGATATGTCTGGAGTTTGGGTATCGAATCAATTCATCGAAATTCTGTTTCGGTATTCGAGTGGAAGAGAAGAGTGACTCGAATTGACTCATATCCAGAGGAAAGGCTTTAAAGGCAAACGAGGCATACGTTGCGATCAGATCCGGTGTCCATTTCATGACATTTCTATAGAGCTTTGTATCACTTTTGATAGGATTTAAATGAAACACTTCCGGTGCCAACAGTTGCTCCACATATGAGCGCCGGAAACGCATTGCACTTAAGATCATGTTTGATGTCCTCAAGAGCTGAGTGTTGTATTCGGGGTTCGGGTCGTCCTTCCAGGCGAGGAATGGGTTGTAATTGATTGGTAGAGGAGTTCGCGACTTGAGATAGTACTCAAACCATGGCTGAGATATATAACTCGTCTTCGCGTTTCGCTTATTCTCTTCTATGAGTTGTGAGTGAAGTGTCTTTCCATCGGAAGACTCAAACTCTTTGACCAATTGTTTAGTTGCGTTCAATTGGTTCTCATCTGAGATGATAGGTCTGAGTGCCTCCACATATCGCTCACAGGTTTTGGTCAACTCAGGCACAGGTAGTCGAGGCAGAGATGCCACTTTAAACAACCAGAAATTTCTCGAGGAGACGTCCATAAGTATGCTACCGAGACAGCTACTTACAGACGTAGAATAGTGTCTATTACAGAAGCAGACATTGGCTTTTTCAAAGGCATTTAGGTCACATTGTTTCGTTGATATCTGGCATTTGAAATGATTTATAAAATTTAGTTAATTTTAGTGTCAAATGAATGTCTAAATGAAGACTAAATGTGTGGACAACTGACCATTTCTGATGGATTGCTGGATTGGATCAGATGTTGGGATCAAAGTGTCAATCGATGTGAACAGTAGGAGTACTGAGGAGTACTGCCCTCTCATTCATTGCACACAAACTCAATAACTTTTGCAACTTTTTTCCAAAAGTTTTTCCTTTTTATAAATGATTTATTAAATTCATTTAATTCAAACAACACATTGTCTTATGTTTTGAGAAATTTTGCAATTTTGTTATAATGTAAACACAGGTATACATGTCATTAATATTAGACATCTAATACAGGAGATTCAATAAATATTTTGACATTTCATACTTTTTTAAATTGGAAAAATACCCTGGAAATACTAGAATACCTGTATAATATATTATATTACCTGAATACAGGTGTTCATTTCATAACACTGGAGTCCAGTGACTGGACAATTATTGTGGACTACAATTGATAGTTTATTGATTATAAATGGACTCATAATTTAGATTTATTGAATTATTGAATAATGACAAAGATACATTGTATAAGGCTAGAGATTATGTAATATTTAGTCTATGTTCTGGAATTTCAAGTTAATATTGCAATACATATGAAACAACTACTGAACCGTAAATAGTTTGGTCACAAATGTGAGCCGTAATGATAGATTATTTTTAATATTAACGAATGTATGAATTACTGTATTATTTAAGTATTAATAACAAACAATATGTTTAAGTGTTTTCATTATCTGCGAGCATTCATTGGACCAATTAATGGGTAGGAAATGGTTCCAAAGGTTACCACAAAAAAAAGTTCAATACAATTTTCAGTGCAATCGTTCTCTGCCCGTACAGATTGCTCCCTCCCCTCCCCTTCCCTCTCATCAACTTATAATTATATAAAACTTTATGGCACTTATTTGCTGCTAAACTCATCGGTTAGTAATCATAAAGTTATTAAACATAATGCTTCCAATTAAATCATTAAACAATAAATATGAACTCATCTATTACAATATTGTAAGAAATGTTGTAAAAATGAATGAATGAGTAATAATTTGTAGA